TCCGCAGCCCCAGCCGAGCCCCGACCCTTCCGGCCGCCCTCGCCTCACGCGCCGCCGTGGCCCCCGCCGCCCTCGCCTCACGCGCCGCCGTGGCCCCCGCCGCCCTCGCCTCACGCGCCGCCGTGGCCCCCGCCGCCCTCACCTCACGCGCCGCCGTGGCCTCCGCCGCCTAGCGCTGTTCCCGCCGAGCCGCGGCCTCCGACGTGCCGGAACTCCCAGACGGTAACTTTGAGAGTCGCGTCTCCGACCCGGGCTCTGTGGGCCTCATGCTTGTGGAGTTCTTCGCCCGCTGCTGTGGAAGCTGCTAGAGACTTGCCCTGAGCATGAAGCTGCAGCTACCTGATTAAAAGGAAGAGTCCCATTCGCAAAGCTTGATTGCACTGCAAACACTAACACCTGTAGTAAATATGGAGTCAGTGGCTATCCAACCCTGAAGACAGAGATGGTGAAGAAGCAGGTGCTTATGATGGACCTAGGACTGCTGATGGAGTTGGCAGCCACCTGAAGAAGCAGGCAGGCCCAGCTTCAGTGCCTCTCAAGACTGAGGAAGAATTTAAGAAATTCGTTAGTGATAAAGATGTCTCCGTTGTAGGTTTTTTCAAGGTTTCATTCAGTGAAGCTCACTCTTGAGTTCCCAAAAGCAGCCAGCAACTGGAGGGATAACTATCAATTTGCACAAAGGAATGTTGGGTCTCTGGTGAATGAGTATGATGATGACGGAGAGGGTATCTCCTTATTTCGTCCTTGACATCTGACTAACAAGTTTGAGGACAAGACTGCGGCTTATACAGAGCAGAAAATGACCAGTGGCAAAATTAAAAAGTTTACCCAGGAAAACATTTTTGGTATTTGCCCTTACATGACAGAAGACAATAAAGATTTGATTCTGGGCAAGGACTTACTGCTTACTATGATGTGGACTGTGAAAAGAATGCGAAAGGTTCCGACTGCTGGAGAAACAGGGTAATGATGGTGGCAAAGAAATTCCCGGATGCTGGGCACAAACTCAAGTTTGCTGTAGCTAGCTGCAAAACCTTTAGCCATGAACTTTCTGATTTTGGCTTGGAAAGCGCTGCTGGAGAGATTCCTGTTGTTGCCATCAGAACTGCTAAAAGAGAGAAGTTTGTCATGCAGGGAGAGTTCTCGCATTTTGGCAGGGCTCTGGAGAGGTTCCTGCAGGATTAATTTGATGGCAATCTGAAGAGACACCTGAAGTCTGAACTGATCCCAGAGAGCAATGATGGTCCTGTAAAGGTAGTGGTAGCAGAGAATTTTGATGAAATAGTGAATAATGAAGATAAAGATGTGCTGATTGAATTTTATGCTCCTTGGTGTGGTCACTGTAAGAATCTGGAGCCTAAGTATAAAGAACTTGGAGAGATGCTCAGCAAAGACCCAAATATTGTCATAGCCAAGATGGATGCCACAACCAATGACGTGCCTTCTCCACATGAATAAAGTTTAAGTCATGCCTCTGGGTGGAAGAAATCCAGTGACAGTAAATTGATTGGTGGTGAATAGGGTGAAAAACTATAGAGTTTCTTCCAACAATTGAATTTAACAATTTCAGAAATTTATGTTTTGGTTTTCTGATAGAAGATAACATAGCATTCTGCTGAAATATACCAATTCCCTCAATAAGTAAGATTATGAGTAGGCATATAGCTATATATAATTTAAATTTAAAAAGCCTATTACAGATATACCTAAATCTCACATTAATTGATGAGGTTGATTTATTTGATTATTGTTCTTATAAAATACATTAAAATATTGCTTTTCACTGTAGGCACACAATTAAAACAAATGTAAACATGTTTAATTTTAAATATATTAAAATTATTTAATAAATGTCTTTTATTATTTTGCACATCAAATTTCATGCCATCAGCACTCCTTTGAATGACAAAGATTATGGAAAACAATGAAATCAAAGGTAGAAAATAAACAACACAAAAGACTAATTCTTATTTCTTTTTCTGGGTCCCTAATACCCTGTGCTATTTTTGACAACAAAGATGCCTTGCTTTTACAATTCAGAGGCCCAGAAGTGAAAAAAATACAAGTAGTTAATGAATAATGCATATGTTCATAGCAATGGTCAAATTATACTGTTTCCTAATGGATACCATTTTTCTTCATTGAGTGGGACACTACAGAGTTGGATGTTAATTGCTCCCACAAATACAGTTTTGCTCTTCACAATAAGCATTAAGACATGTCCTTGGAGCTCTGTGACTTCATCGTATACTACCTAAAAAGGGAGAAAATAATGAACATATAAATCAGAAATGCTTAAATACGTGTTTTGATTATGGCTTTTTTTCTATTTGAGACAGAGTTTTGCTCTTGTTGCCCAGGCTGGAGTGCAATGGTGCAATCTCGGCTCACCACAACCTCCACTTCCCGGGTTCAAGTGATTCTCCTGCCTCAGCCTCTCGAGTACAAAAAAATTTGGCTGCTAATACCTTGTGCCCCTAGGTCAATGTTAGACTGTTTTATTGCTAACTTTTATTGTGAAAAGCTAAAGGTTCTACTAACATAATAGAGCTTAATGACAGACTATTTCTGTAAGAATCCTAGAATTTACTGATTCCACTAAGAATTGCCCACTCTATATTTAGAAAGATGGTAAATTACTCTCTAGAAAGAAATTTAAATATTTTTCACCTTTTATACTCCGTAAATATGTACAACTATTATGTATTCATAAAAATAAAATGAGAACATCATTTTTCAGTGTTGAAGGTTAATAAGGAAAAGCAGACCAATTTCTTTTTTTTTCAATTTTAGATTCAGAGGAATAGATGCCCATACGTTCCATGGGCATGTTGCGTATTGCTGCAGTTTGGGCTTCTAATGATCACGTTGCCCAAGTAGTGAACATAGCACCCAACAGGTAGTTTTTCCACTCTTGGTCTCCTTCTTCCCTTTTCCCTCTTTTGGAATCCCCAGTGTTTATGGTTCTCACCTTTGTGACCATGAGACAGACCAATTTCCATGATTTCCCTGTGCTACTTAAATGCAGCACAATTATATTTTCTTGTACATGTGCAGAAATTATTCTATGGTTACTTTTATTTATTTAAAATTACTTATTTTTTAATTGTGGAAATACATGTTCATTAAAAAAATCTGAATGAAACTAAAAATATGCCAGGAAGGAAGAAAATAATTGGAATTTTCACCATTGGGAGATAACTACAGTTAACATTTTTATGTTCTTTTTGTTTTCTATATATAATCACTTATTCAGAATCTGACTTGTAATTATGCTGTATATACAGTTTCATGTCTTGTTCTTTTTTTGTGACTTTTTTTTTCAAGAGGGATCTGTTCCGCTGTCCTTTTATAAAGTCCAGGAAGTAAGTTACAGGTCCAACCTGCAGTGGTAAAGTGATGTACGGGCATAGTACTGCAAAGAAATTAGTTATTTATCATGAAAGGAGGAGATTGCTGAGTGGAAATCTGGCATGGTTACCAGGGAAATGTCTTAGAACACATTTAGAAAAGGAATTTCATATGCTGCTACGATCTTGCTTGCTTTTTACAGCCAAGTCACAAGATAGAAACTTTCTCAATATATGCCGAAAAGAAGCAGAGGAGACAAGTTGAGAGGGCAGCCCCCCGTGTGCATGGATATAGTTTCCAGTGCTTTGCACAGCATAGGCCTACCTTTCATTATGTTATCAATGAAATTCAGTTCCAGATCAATCTGCTAGCTGTTCCAAACAATGATTCACTTACCAAGTAAATAATACCTCAATCAAGGGGCTTGAAACGCAATATAATATGTGAATGTGGTCTACCTGATCCATGTGAGTGCTCTTGGCTACCTCTTCTTCCAGAATTTTACTCTCATTCTATACAGGAGATTCAGTTTTAGTTTTCTAGTATTGCTCACTCCATTATTTCATTTCATCTATTGAGTTCTCCTGGGACAATAAATGATTTTAAGAGTTGCTTTAAAAATAATCTCAGAGCCCTACCACTGTAATTCATGTTTTTTAACAACTGGGCATCCAGTGCTGCCTGTAAATGGTTCCAGGACTTCAGAGTGAACCCCTTTTCCTTTTCTCTAAGTGACTATTTTGAACTGTCTGAACTATTCTCCATTTTTCTTCCTATATCATGTTCAGCTGATGAACTCCTCTCTTATTTTAAAGATGAAACAGATAAAGGAACCCTCAAAGTGTGACTGTATATAATGTAGACAAACGGGAAGTCTGGCTAAGGACTCGGAATTGTATGAATAAGGCCTAAATTGTAAATTTTTAAAAAACATATCAATAATTTATATTTTCATGAATCTGTTGTCAACTGTGTGTTTTCTCATTTGCATAATGATGATAATATTCTTACCTTTTAGCATTGTAGGGAGGAAGAAATGAGATAATGAATATAAGCCTTACTACAAAGCCTGGAACATATTAGACACCAATAAATTATAGCTGTAAAAGATCCATCAAATACACAAAAAGGAACAGTTGTTTCTTAGTATTTTGCTTCAGTTGACTAGAGAAATCCCTTCCAGACAGAATTCAGTCTCCCAGGTATTTAGCAAGCTGAAAGCATCAAGAAATGACTTTAGGAATTAATTGCTTTCCTGGTTAAAATACTAACATTTGAACTTCCCAAGTTTTTTATTACTTAATAGATTCTTTTTCCCTCTGCTTCATTAAGAAAAGTTATTTTCTTAAAAGTGACTGAAGTTTTATAAACCTGTAATCATTGTACATTATAGATGACAAATAACTATTTTAATTGCTTTGGGGCATCCATAATGTTGTTAAAAAGTAAGCACTCTTTTTAACTGAGCAATGAATAATTAGCAGCCAATGTCAGCAAAGTACAGAGATGATTATATTCTTGAGACTTTTTCATTAAATGATTTAATATATACTCTGCATACTCAGAACCAAAAAAATGGTTCTGGTACATACTAGAACCAAAAATGAATAGCTCTTTTAATTTCTCTTTATAAAAACTTTACCTATGGGCCCGAGCTGAGTCTTTACTACCCTCTGACAAATACTGAATGTGTGGTTTTGGAATTACTACATTTAATAGAAAACACTTAAGGTAATTAATATCTATTAACATATACTTAACATTCCAAGCATTCACTGAACATTAGTTGACACAAGGGTCAACTGGATATTAAGGAGAAAGGAGGATAGGAATAACATAGTAAATAATTCTAAAGTGTATTTTCATGATTGAAATGAGAGAACAGTAACAGAAACTGGTGTTTCCCGTCCTTGTGGGAAGCGGTAGAGGAGGAAGGATGATGAAAGAAATAGTTCATAAGTGAGAACAGGAATGCTCTGTGGGTGGAGACAGGTAGGAATAACACAGCATAGTGTAGTACGGTAAACATGAGCTTTGGAATCAGACAGTTCTGGGCTTGACATCTAGTTGTGTGACCTCTGGGCCTCAATGTCTTCACTTACAAATACAATTTTCATCATGATAAAATAGCAATAAGATTATGATACAGATAACAATAACTATTGCTCGCTGAGTGTGCCATATACTTGGCATTGTGCTAAGTAATCACTGTATATTCTGCAGGAGATTTTAAGGCCTGCGAAATGCATAGAATGTTCCTGTTCTGTCCTTAATATTTTCCCTTTATACCTTACAATAGTATAATATATAAGAAAAGGTTACAATATAAAAAATACATTGATTATAAGCATGTAATTCTCTCATCGTATAGAAATTCTATATTTCTAAAGAATCATGTGAAAAATGATGGTTTTTAACAAGAAGGCAACAGTAGTAGCATGGAAAGAGGCTTTGGAGCCCAGAATCCCAGCTCTGCTTCTTCAAGCTACATAGCAGTTCCCTAAATTCACACCCCCAGCCCTAGCCCCACCTTGAGCCCAGCCATGCCTATCACTGGGGTTTGTACATGACAGGGGTTTTCAGGGAGACTGCTGACGAAGCCTATTGGGGCTCACTCTGCGAAGTGTCAAATAGACAAGCTTGGCCCTGCATCAAAGCCTTAGTATGTGAAGGGCAGAGACTCTGTCACTTGGCTGTGTCCCTGACCCAACCTCTCTCATCTCTGGATATTAAGAAGAAAGGAGGGTAGAAATAAAAATAAAAAGAACTGTTTTCACAAAAGGCTTTGTAAGTCATGGGTATGCAACATAATATCTTCTTTGTACTCCTCTAAGAGATTTGTATAAAGAGGAGAGAGGTTATCCTCTCCCACTTCACAGAACGGTGCATGGCTTTTACAATTTGAAAAATACCAGCTGTGGTGAGTGCTCAATGCAGCAGTACTCAATGAGGTGGTGGAAGTGGAGGAAAAGTTTAAAACGAGGTAGATGCCATGTGATAACTCACTGGGCTCTCTAGTAAACACTGGGCTTACTAGTAAAGACATCTAGTAAGGTGTTCCTGAGGTTGCCCACAAGTGATTGAGAAGTTTGGCACGAAGATGTGGTCCTACATCACAACTGAGGGCAAGTGAAAGTAAAATCAGAGTTAAAATCTAGTGTGCTTCTTTGCATTTATTATAAATACTCTTGTGTTGATACAGACACAGAGTGAAAAAAAATTAAACATTGTGGACTTTTTTTCCTTTTGGCTCTCTGAATTCAGCCAGCTTCTTTGCCAGAGTTGTTTATATGATGTAGAAACCTCTTACTGTTCTAATGACTACTACTAGAATTATCACTTACACACACTACTTCAGATTTCTGCTTGATTGGACTACGTTCTGATTGGAATTGGCTATGCATGGACTGTGGTTTTTGAAGCAATTTAAAATGTGTCCAAAGTATAAAGTGTCTATTCATGCGACAAGTACAGATCAATTGAAAAAGATTTGTAGTGATTTTTAATCAGTGGGCTATGGATGTTTGAGGACCTAGATTATTGCAAGCTGTCAGAAAAGTTATGTGCACACCAAGAATTATAAAATAATCTTCCATGAATATCTATTTACTACTGTTTTCTTATCATACATAAGGCTTGAAATAAATAAAACACGAGTTTATTTAAATTATTCTGAATTGTTAGTGGTTTCTTGTTATTATATGTTTCCTTATATTAAAACTGCTCACGTCTAGCACAGGGTCTGAGAAGTTTCTTGATAGTGAGGTATGGATACTTGTATTCAAAGAGTATGAAAAGAAACAGTGATATGTTTTGGGGAGGTGTACTCTTCTCACTGTTGACATCATGACAAATAATAAAGTGTCAAAATATCTTTCCTTACTAATTTAGAGAATCTTTTTCTTGCTATATATGCAGTATATACATGTATTTACATTTTATACACACACACCACACACACACGTGCACACACACAGTGTCACTTATAAAACTACTCCAAATATTTATATATTTATTACACATCTTTTTAGAGGTAACTAAGTGTTAAAAGTATTAAAAAGGGTAAGACATTTATCCCAGCTTGAAGAAGTTTGTGATATACTAGAAGAAAAAACGTGAGGACTAAATAAAAGATGGTAAGTGTGGTGTGACAGTCCATGAGATGAGAGTGCTCACAGAGTCCATATCTGAGGTCAGTCTCAAAGCAGGCAGAGAAGAGCAGAGAGAGGTGAGTGGTGGCATGAGTGCTATCACAAAACCCTAAAGTACATTCAGGGAATGATAAGCTGTCTGATGCGATCTGAAAATATGGCTAAGTATGGGGCAACAAAAAGTGTATAAGCACACAAATATTCCCAAATGATTTTTGACAAAGGTGCAAAAGAAATTTGGTGGAGGAACAATTGACTTTTCAACAAATAGTGCTGGAGTAATTGGTATCCATAATGGGGAAATAAAGAATCTTGACTTAAACATCACATTTTATTAAAAAATTTAACTCAAAATGAATAATGTACTTAAATGTAAAATGTAAAGCTATATAACTTTTAGAAAAAAATACAAGAGAAAATCTTTGAGACTCAGTGCTAGGTAAAGAGTTTCTTAGTATTGACACCAAAGGTACCATCTATAAAAGAAAAATGAATAGAGGAAAGCCTGGTCTAAAAGTGCCTATGTGACATTCAGATGGAGCTCTCCAGGAATCAGGTAGAAGTACAGATCAAAAGCTTGAGAGAGGTCGGGTGCAGTGGCTTACACCTGTAATCCCAGCATTTTGGGAGGCTGAGGTAGGCGGATCACCTGCGGTCAAGAGTTCTAGACCTGCTTGACCAATATGGCAAAACCCCGTCTCTACTAAAAACACAAAAATTAGCCAGGTGTGGTGGTGGGTGCTTGTAATCCCAGCTACTCTGAGTGGCTGAAGCAGGAGAATCACTTGAACTCGGGAGGTTGTGGTGAGGTGAGATTGTGCCACTGTACTCCAGCCTACTTGACACAGAGTGAGGAGCTCCATCTCAAAAAAAAAAAAAAAAAAGAAAAAAGAAGAGCTTGAGAGAGATGTCAGGGCTTTAGGAGTAAATTCAGATGCAACCTACCTACAGGTGATAAATAAAATTTCATGGATCCATAAGATAATTTTGAAAGCATGTATAGAAAGAGGAGATGAGGGTGGATCATGCGACTTCAATGAACGATAATATTTTAAGAGACAGAATAACAATGAAGGGAAATGAGAGAGTAGGTAGAGAAAATGGAAGAGAAATAAGAAAAGGTGCAACTCAAAAAGCAAAAGGGAAGTTTCAGGAAGGAGGGTGTGGTCAGTAGGGCTGCTGTAACTGATCCAGGCAGGAGAACGTGAGGGCTCTTTGGATTTTGCAGTTAAGAGTCTACTGATGCCCCTTGAATAAAGTACTATCAATAAAGGTCGGCATCTACATTGCAAAGCATTCAAGGGTGAAAGGGGGAGATGAAGGAAGAGCAGATCGTGTCGGTCAATTTTGTAAAAGTTTGGAGGTGATAGGGAGGGAAAGAAAATTGCTTAGTGAGGTTGGGTTGGGTAGTTTTTGGGTTTTGTTTTTGAATATTTCTGAATGAAGGATCCTGTTGGATGAGACAGCCATAAGAAAAGGAACACAAATAAGCAGCTGAGCAAGGTGCAGAGGAGATGGGAAAGGACGGAATCAAGAGAATAAATGTACGGGTTTGCCTTAGAAGTTAGGGAATTGAATGTTCAAATTGTACATTACAAATAAATTAGAGAGCTATTTATAATACACATTAACTTCCATTTGTATTCTGTATTTTTTGTTGTTTTAGTTTTTCAAAAGGGATTTTATGAGATTTACTTTTATACCCAAGGTAGTATATGCTAAAATTATTAGGTGAGGAAAATCAGGTAAAGGAGAATAAGGTTAGAGAAAATATGATGAAGTCAGGAATAATGTTAGTATGCAAAACAAGTCTTCGGCTCTTGCTGGAGGTTAGCCACAATTTGCAAATTGGTTTATAAGAGCTTTGAAAGCAGTATCTGTATTTTCCAGTGCCCAAAGCATCTAGAAGAGTGATCAGCATACTGCGACTATTTTGGAAAATATATTTCCTTTATGAAATAATGCTGCCAATTACTGCAAATTTTCCATATTTGGTTGTTAAGCTGAAAAATGGTAAGAAAAATACAAAATGACTGGACAAAAGATGACTCATACTTACAATTTCATTGTAAGTGGGGTCTGTACATTTTGGAACAGATTTTGTTTTCCTCCTACGAACTTCACTGGGATATGGTAAAAGATAAAATTCAACATGTGCACTGGGCGCAGAGCCATCTGGGAGATGCTGCAAAGGAAAATGGTTATAAATATTAATGCATGTTGCTATCAAAGAAAACAAATACAGAGCTACTAAATATCCAGAACAAAGGCAGCATCAGGATTTATTACAGTCACTTTGTTGATCAGAAAATAAAAGAAAATCAAAAGAAATTCATTAATGCTCAAAGATAATTCCAAACTACAGTTTAAAAGAGTAAAACTAGCCATCTTAAATTAAGTGTTGTGTCAGAGAACTATATTTAAAGTCCATTACACATAATTACATTAATTTTTTACTGTAAAACTTAAATTTGCATTTTGACAGATATGGTCAAGAGATAAATATTAGCCACAGGCAGAGACAAAAACTAAGTGCCTCAAGATGCTGTATGCCACTTTTGAAAATTAAACAATTCAAGTTCAACATATAAAATGAGAGGTAGCATTTAATAATAGGTATATGTACATTATACAGTATCACATTTTAAAACAAAATATAATTAAAATATTAATTAGAGCTATTACTTTAATATACTTACAAGATTTTTAAATGATTATAATAATTTTATCATCTAAATTATTCTAAATTATATTGGATAATCCCTTTTAAGTTGTGTTTTATGGTGCTCCAAAAGGTACCTAAGGAGTTGCCTGAATAGTAAGGGCAAATGAGTAGATCTCTGGACCTCCACTCCCCAATTCTTCCTTCACCTCTCCCCTCCTCGGCTGCCCAATCCTGACTTCAGAATTTGTTTCCTTCTTTTCTATCTTGCCTTCATATCTGTTATGGATATGTTATTTTCTAAATCAATCATGTGAAGAATGACTCCACTGTTTCAAAAATTTGGAAACCATCATACTTGAAAGAAATGGATTTTATCTTCGTGATCTTGACCAACTGTAGAGTAAATGGTACTAAAACTCTGAATGTCTAGTTTGATAAAATGAGAATAATTTGTATAATTTATATTTAAAGCAGATGATTTAAACGTAAAACTTGAGGAACTAAGTGCTTGTTTTGTTTACTAATTCTATTAAATCAGTAATTTTCAAGAAATACATTTTAATGCTCTGAAACACAGTGATATTCACATATGAAAAGGCAGTGTGCCCCCACCACGTAGCTCCATTAGCTTTAATTTTACATCTTTCTTCAGAACTCAAAAAAGCATGTTGGAAAGCCAGAAAATATGATATATATTATTATAGGACTAACTTTTATTCAGTCCTAAATTACATATTAAAATTATATCATTAGGGAACATGGGTTTTTATTATAATTATTAACAAATAAGATAAAATATATCTGGACACACCCGTTTGTCAATATGTTAAGAATGAGGACCTGTGCTTTAGTGGAGTGCGAGGTATACCTCTGCAATTTGATATCCTTCCCCAGGAGGGGGAGCACTGAAATCTATCAATGGTATAATGAAATATTCAGTGACACAGAAAGAAGTTGCTATTAATATTTGGGAGCAGATTTTTCTTTTTTTTTTTTTTTGGTGAGAAGAATGAAGTGGTAAAAGTGTTTTTGCTCTGTGTAACTCTCTGTCTTACCTGCCTTGGAACTTGAACTTGAGGATATCCTGCTTATAATCCCTGTATACTACAACTTAGTAGGTAAAACATGTTTCTGGAAATGGATTTTCTGATTGCAAATATGGGCCCCAAATTTGCCAGCTATGTGGCTTTAGGCAGATATGATGGTTAGTTTTGTATGTCAATATGGTTGGGTCATGGGATTCCCAGATATCTGGTTAAACATTATTTCTAGGTGTGTCCGTAAGGGTATTATGTGGCACAAGCACTGCATGAATGACCTAAAGCTTCTATGTGTGCACTGAAGGAGACCTTTATCTCCTGTACTGTAGGGGTGAGACTGCGTAACAACAAATCAGAATCTCATCTTGACGCTGGTTGGATTACAATGCAAGTTGAACTCCAAGTTTCACAAAGTGTCTACTGTTAAAGTGAAGCATTGAACAGATTCTGTAAGTTGAGATAGGTTGTACAGAAAGTCCTTGATCAAGTTTGGGACCTGGAGCTCCTAAATTCTGATGATCTTCTTTTCTAGTGGAAGTGGCCTCCTTGTCCCCAGTGGTATCTGCTTCTCCATTTCACTGTCACCCTCTGAGAGAATCAGCTCTGCACTGTCTGAGCAGACAGTAATGGCCTCCTCTGAGGAAGCTGCTATGCAAGACAATTTTAATTCTCCTGAGAACTCCCTACCTCTACCCCATGTCTCATCTCTCTCTGCTTCTAGCCCTATAACCAAGCTCAAGTCCCAGATGACCCCTAAAGTTGAGGTTCAAAGTGTGATCCATAAAGATGTGTGCTACACTCCAAAATAATTACTTGAGTTTTCTAATTCATGCAGACAGAAACTTGGGTAACAGGTGTAAGAATGGATAATAAGGGTGTGAAATTATGGTAAAAAGAACATAAAGTTGTATTAAGTTAATTTTTTTTGTTGTTCTGGCTCACTAAGCAGAGATTCTTCATTTAATGTTGAAGCTTGGGGAATCAGAAAGGGTTCTAACAGTTTGTTGGGTTGGCTGACACATGGACCAAAAGGTGGACAGGCTGGACCTGCCTTGATTTAATGTCGAGGAAGGGATTAAAAGCATAGGGAGAGTGGAATGTTAGCGTGGCTTCGTCATGTAAGACCTCCTCACCCACACTGACAGTAATCAGAAGATACAATTTTCAACACTGTGAGAAGTAAATTTGAGAGGGGAGGCCCAGCATCCTTGAAGAGCTCTGTGATCACTCTCCTCTGTGGACCAAGCCTCACAGTAGGAACTGCAGTCACTGAACTGGGAAACCTAAATTTAATGGAGGTAATTAGACTCCAGTTTGGCAGAGGCCGAGTTGCCTTGCTAAACTGCCAAGGTCAGGGTGGGCGTGGTTACCATAGCGGACAGCAGGGCTGAAGCAGCTATCAGAATGGTCTGATTCCTGCAGACCCGTGACATGGGCTAGCTTTTATGTGTTCCTTGAAGTCAAATCAATAGGAAGACTACTAAATTCTTACTTGAGTTTTTTGTAAGAAGAAAAAGAAAAAAAATCTAGGTCAAGTGAACAAAATCTAACCTGAATCATAAAAACAAGAGTCACAGCCTCTCAATTAATTCCTAAACTGAAGTCAGCTTACAGATCCAGAACCCCTTGAATGAAGGAGAGACTGGGTCCCCTTGAGGAAGGACTCTTAGACACTACCCAAAATTTATGTTGTTAATATTTCTCTAAAGGGACCTATGGGTTTTTACCAGGGTAACTGTGCCCTGGGGGAAAGGATATAATCAGATCTTTTGGGAACTACTGAACACTGGTTCTGAACTGACACTGAATTCAAGAGACTCAAAACATCACTGTGGACCACCAATCGGAACAGGGGGCTTATAGAGGTTGGGTGATCAATAGAATTTTAGATCATATCTGTCACACAGTGGGCCCAGTGGGTTCTCAAACCCAGTCTATGGTTACTTGTTCAATTCTGGAAGGCATAATTAGAATAGACTGGCAGCTAGCAGAGTCCTCACGTTGGTTTTCTGACCTGTGCAGTGAGGGCTATTATGGTGAAAAAGGTGAAGTGGGAGCCATTAGCATTGCCTCTATTTAGGAAAGTAATAAAGCAAAGTCATATTACTGGGGAGATTTCAGAGATTAGTACAACCATCAAGGACTTGAAAGACACAGGGCTTGGGGGTGAATCCCACTACATCCCCACTCAATTTGCCTATTTTGCCATATGGATGAATCTTGGAGAATGAGAGTGTATTATCATCAGCTTAACCAAGTGATAACTCCAATTCCAATTGCTGTACCAGATGTGGTTTTCACTGCTTAAGCAAATTGACACATCTCCTGATACCTGGTAGGCAGCTGTTAATCTGGCAAATGCTATTTTTATCAATACTTGTTAACAAAGACCACCAGAAGCAGTTTGCTTTCAGCTGACAAGACCAGCAATACACCTTCACTGTCCTACCTCAGGGGTACATCAACTCTGCAGCTCTATGTCATAATTTAATTCACATGATAACACACCAGTTCATTACACTGATGATATCATGCTAACTATAAACTTATTTGTGAGACTTGTGCATATCACAGGGTGGGAAATAAAGCTGACTAAACTTCAGAGGCCTTCAATCTCAGTCAAACTTTAAGAGGTTCAGTGGTGTGGAGCATGTTGATACATCCATTCTAAGATAAAGGATAAGCTGTTGCAGCTGGCTTCTCCTACAACCATGTAAGAGGCACAATGCCTAGTGGGCCTATGGGATTTTGGAGGCAACATACTCCTTATTTGGGTGTGTTAGCCTGGCTTGTTTGCTGAGTGACCTGCAAAGCTGCTTGTTTTGAGTGGGGCTCAGAGCAAGAGAAGGCTCTGCAACAGGTCCAAGCTGCTGTGCAAGCTGCTTTGCCACATGGGTTATACGATCCAGTAGATATAACAGTACTTAAAGTGTCAGTGGCAGAAAAGATGATGTTTGAAGCCTTTGGCAAGTCCTTATGGTGAATTTCAGCATGGGCCCTTAGGATTTTGGAGCAGAGGGCTGCTGTCCTATGCAGATAACCAATCTCCTTTTGAGAAATAACTCTTGACCTACTACTAGGCCTTAGTAGTGACTGAATGCTCAACTGTGGGCCACCATGTTGCCATGTGCCCTGAGCTGCCAATCACAAATTGAATGTTATCTCACTCATGAAGCGATGAAGGTGGGTGTGCATCACAATATTCCATCATCAAATGAAATTGTTATATGCATAATCAGGCGTGAACTGGCCTTGATGACATGGCACAATAAGTTACATGAAGAAGTGACCCAAGTGCCCACGGTTTCCATTGCTGCTGCACTGACTTCTTTCTTCCAGCCTGCACCCATGGCCTCATGAAGAGTTCCCTGTGGTCAGTTGACAGAAGAAGAGAAAGAAGAACAGGGCCTGGTTTACATATAGTTCTGCAAGATATGCAGGCACCACCTGAAAGTGAACAGCTATAGAACTACAGCTTCT